ATCAGATTTTAAAGCAGTAGAAGCCAACTGTGAAAACTTGTTAGAGCAGAAGCACCTGGTCAGAACCACACAGTGCGGCTTCCAGTCTACCCAATTGTGGTCGCCAGCGGACATTGACTTTGTTCCACGAATGAAATATGGAAATCGCGCATTCCTGAATTAAGTTGCCAAGGTTTTTTAATACTCACTCGAGCGATGATGGTGTGGTAACAAAAGAGGTCGTTACCGCGCGCATAGCCCATAGATCGAACTCTGGTCAAATTAAGCGTAGCTCAACCAAACTTCATAGATGATTAGTTGTTGCAAAGAGCGATAGTTACTACATAAATTATATCGGTAACTAAATCATAAAAAAGTCGTAGTTCGAAGGATAACGAACCAAAGTTTTAGCTGTATTTGAATGGCTATTATACAAATCTACGAGAAAGTTCGGGCAGTTTCCTCTCCTTAAGATGCCATGTTTGCAGGCCTTTTTATTCGGCGGGTAACACAGGCATCTATTTAGGCAGTAATATATCTCGCTCAATATTTGACATAACTCTATCAGACAGTCCCATTCCTATTAAACGTCATCCAAAAAGTTCAGTGCAGTTGTAATGTTACATTGTATCTTGAAAGGAGTTCTTCGTTGCCTTAGGTGCACCTCCTCGATATCGAAGTTGAGCACCGCCATGGGTCAGTTTTTACGAGGGTAACAAGGGCAGCAGCTGCCATAGGATACTTCTACAGTACCCACCTTCAAAGAAGACTTCACGAACATTGGAACAGGCGTGAATGAAAGCCAGAAGTGGTTCTAAACCTGCGATATGCTGCTCCAGAGAGAACAAGGCTTAGATTGCGGCAGAACGGCCGTGGCATACATGATCATTGTTCACACCCTTAGGCTTCAGACCTAGATCAAAGAGGGCAGATTCGTTGGTGATTATGTCAGAGCGGAACTGGTTTGGACGTTACTGTGAATGATTGTCTAGTCAATCACTCATTACACTTCGTTCATGTGCGACACTATTCTACAGAACACAAAAAATGGTTCCAAGGTAATATCGCGTGGGTTAGACCAAACAAAAGCGCCTGAAGGCATTTTGTCGAGTACCCGTTGACGGGAGCGAACAATCACCTCGGCGTGTTCGCTGTAATTTAAATTCTTCATTGTGTGCGCCAATATCAGAAGGGCAAGCAATGTGGTGTGGCCTATCATGGAGTGTTGTTGGACAGTTCACTATTTCGGAGGTGTAATACTTGGACGTGATCATTGGATTTTCTCGTAAACCATCAGTTCGAGTGTTGCCGAAAATGGAAAGATAGGCAGGAAGTACAGGACTTGATACAGCAATTTGCTCAGCTCGTCTTACCTCTGCTGCGAAAGGCTTCATTCAATGTTAATTACATCCATTTGAAAAAGATCCCCAGTTTAGCGCAAAACTCATCATGAGAGTTGCGAAAGCAAACAGAGTAATTTTTTCCGAAAAAAAATACTAGGCAAAGACAATTAGAAGCAGGTAGTGTTTCCATACATGAAATCTAGATCATACTCTGGTAGCCATTAATGAAGGTCAATAGAGATTAATACTGAATTCACTTTCTCTACAGATGCACCGTATGGCAATTGAAAGCAATGTTTAGCTACTCTTCAATATTTAGACTAATCTATGATACTTCCCTACTTACTATAAAGCGCTTCGTCTGTCGTTCTGTCTGTCGTTCTGTATGTCTGTGACGAAATTCCCTACTTCTGGGGATTGGAGAGACCGGATGAAGTGTGAGTTGGGTGGCCCAGGTCTCGAGAAGTACTAAACACACATCAGCTAAGCGGAGCCTCGCCCGCAGTGGGCGTGGCGTGCGTCGACATGATGTACTGACGACCGAAATTTTCAATTCTCTCAGAAAACGACCTTGAAACTAGGCCAAAAAGTGGGTGAAGGTGTGCATTGGTAAGTTACATCGAATTAGGGAGACCCACCCCCGGTGGGCGGGGCGTTCTCCAAAAAAGCAGTGCTTTATGAAAAATTTCATAACTCGGTTGGGAGAATGAAAGCGCAGAAAACAAACTGCTGTAGGGGAGCAATCTCTAATGTGTTCACAGTATATATGACGTGGGCGGATTCTTGGCCACAATGGGTGGAGCGCGCTCTGAAGTGTAGAGCATTTTCTGCAAGCCCTCATAATTCGGGCCGGGGAAGCCTTAATGAGCCGGAAAAAGGTGGATGGAGGAGTGGAAGCTGTCATCGGTGGAGGGGGCTTGACCGAAGTGGGCGGAGTTTGCGACGAAAATTCATAGCTCGGCTTCAAGAAGTTCCGGAGGCCGGGAAAACGGCGTAAGAGGTTGGCGAGACAAAGGAGGTCAATTGCTAGTAGTAGACGGAGCGCGCACCATGTGGGCGAGTTTGCCAAAAGCGTCGTAATTTGGTTCCAAGCGGTCCCAGAGACCGGGGGAAAGGGGGTAGAGGACGACGAAGGGAAGGGGACCAAATGCTATTGGTGGGCGGGGCACCCACCGAAGCAGGCGGAGTTTGCCACGAGTTTCTTGTTCGGAAGCAGTCCGAAGACCGGGAAAACGAGGATAATGGTTGACGAAAAAAAAAGAGGTTGAAAGCCGTCGATGATGGAGCGGATAGAATTAGCTGAAAATTCAGATTTTCGTGTATCAGGCCAAATTTGAAAATTTCCGCTGCACCATCGAAATTCGCCGCAGATCTGTGTTGTGCGCGCAATGCGTACGGCGCCAACAGGTGTAGTTACAATCGAACAACGTACAGTGATTTTAATCTAAGCAACTGATAAAAGGGGCTACAACAATAAAGCAACCGAAGCCTTCAGAATGCTTACTAATGGCAGACATAAGCGGCGCTACTTTCATAGAGGTCCAGCGATACTATTAGGTTTTCCCATAATTAGTAAATCACTTTACATTTACTGCTATAAATTCCAAGAGAATTCTTGAAGGCGTGATACATACATATTTTGCTAAGTGGTACCCACATTTCCCTACTAAGCAATTAGTCAGTCCATACACATGTTCCCTTCCGAGGCTGAATTCTCAACTTTTCTGGAACCTTTTCTCAAACACAGCATGAAATCGCCATGCGCCCTTTTCTCAACACGGTATGAAATCGCCATCCCTCTGACTTCCTTTTCAGTGATCATCCTGTGCACTCACGCAGCAGCTTAGTTTACAAGCAGTAGCTTAGCTTACAAGATTCGTTTTGAGAGCAAAAGCCCAACCACCTCTATTCACCTCTGTTCGACACTTCTGAGATTTTAGTGGAGCACGAAAGAGACCTTGCGCTGGGAACTGCCGCCAACAAATACTAGGATCAACGAGTAAGGCAAACGTGGACAGCATGATGGGGATGCGTTCTATCTGAAGGTAACGCAAGACAAAGTCTGGTTTTTTTCTGAGGTCATTTTACCCCACCTTTCAGAAACATTCATAAAAAATTGGAGACCTTCAGACCAGCAGTTCTTCCTGCTCCGAAATTTCACGCTAAGTCACATGACCTCAAACCCGACTTCCGACCTGTATTGATCAATAACTCCTGGAATTCTAGAGAAAAAACAGCGTCTAAATTGCCATGTATAGTTTGTAGATAACACAGGTGTATGTTTAGATGAGCAATCACTTCATGGCGAAGAAAAAAAAGTTAAAAATGAAAAATGCCCAAAGTGATTCGCTACTTATGGGACAACCCAATATTTTCTTCTCGATGATCGACATTCATTTTCTTTTGCGAGCGATGACGTCATCACTGCTGTTTTTCTTGCGTCATGCGAGAACGTGTCAGAAAAGATCGCTAAACAGTCGCCAAAGATAACTAACTGAAGGTTCTCCCATAACATCTTCTCGGGAGCTTTTTATTCGCTAAGCTCTTACCTATATCAATTTTAACAGAATTCAGAGGTGGCTACCTGAATACTCGCTTCACATAATACTACATTTTCAGCTGAGTTAGTACCAAGATATAATAATAGATTTTTATTGAAGAACACTGGTTCATGACAAATATTCTACATTAAAAGAAAAAACAGCGGCGTAATTGCGTTACTACACATGAAATTTGGCCGGCATTGGCTTAAAAACTTGAACTCTAAGGATTTTCATTGTGGCGTACATTTTCGTTGTACGTCTCGTTTGCGGACTCCATACTTCGATCTACTCTTCGTTCCCTGATAATGCGCTCTCATGTAGTCATCACATAAAGCAATAGACTGGGGATTCAACATATAGATAGATGTTTGGTATTATACTACAACAGGTGGTATGAGGTGTTTCTGTGATTTACACAGAAAACCAGGGCAAAAGCTCATCAGCTAGGCGGCTAGCTCTACAAGCGTCTTAATATCTCAGCAAAGCGTTGCTTGTTCAGTGCAGTGTGGTGATCACCTAAAGTGATCAAATACATTGTTAACGAAGATTTGGTCCGATACATCTCAAAATCCAAATCAGCTGATCAGAAGACGCACTGAATCTATTTGCGATAGCTCAGATTTCAGATGACCAATTGATTCCCTTTTTTGAAGTGCAAGAAAACTTGGGTCGCGGAAGGATAACCACGACTAGCTGTCACTTCTGAGATATGAGTGACTACGTTTTCTGTTATTGTTTACTTGTATGCAGTTCCGCTTGTTGATATGCCGTCTTTTCCGTTGTTTGTGAACGCTGGACTGAGTGAAACCGGTTTTCTCACAAACGTAGAAGGGGTTCGACGGGCTCTATTCAAGACGCCGGTTCAATACGTGAGCTCAGAAAGATGCTCCTATTCGGTGGTCCAGAACAAGTAGAGGAAACAAGTTGCGGTGTACGGTCTTTGCAGCATGACGCCACCGACCACGTTCAAGCGGCCCGCTCAGCCTTCCCCATCCCCCTCCCCCGTTGTCGTCATTGTCGACGGGCGGCGGCAGGTGGTTGGGTCCGCCTCCCGGCGAGAGATCGAGAGGCGGAGGGCGAAAAACAGTGGCGTACAGTGAAAAGGCGTCGCGAGGAATCTTCCAGTAGTGATACGATGAACATGGTGCGACACCTCGTTCCTGTCGCTCTTCTCCTCATCGCTGCCTTCATACCTCAGTCGACGCATGGCGCCGAAATTTCTGTCCGTATCGAGAGACACTTTCCATGCTCAGCAAGCTCAGGTGAATACTCGCACTCTTGCACTCCCGATTTCCCTTTTCATTCTTGCATTATCTTATCGCTAGAGCCCATCCGATTCTGGGCTCTTTCATGTGCACCACTTTCACTCGCCGTTGCCTTCGTAACGCCTTCTCATGTTATGCAGGACTATACCCTTAGCATTTCACTCGGAGTGGATTCTTACGTGAGGGAACGGCCTTGACGACGAACTTGATAAATGCCTGGGCGTTTCGCCCACGTCCACATATTCTAGTCGTTGTTCCGCGACAACTCGACCGCTTCTCTTCATTTGTTGAAGCACTGCAGTTTCTTTTTCTACACGTTCGCGGTTCTCTCGTTCACTGCATTACGCGTAGCGATACGGTCGGAAAATTGTCGCAAGTCGAACCGACAGGGTGGAAGTAACAGTTTTATCGCTTATCGATCACAATAGCGTTACCGTCTCCGTATGGTGGATGCGACTCTTCACTTTCGTCCTGCAAGATAGGCATACTAAATCCAGGTGGAAATTAGCAGATTTCCAATGACTGTCATAATACGGCAGAATTTGATTTGATCCTGAGAAGATGGAGTAATTATAAGGCAATGGCAATCTTTCACAAGGCAATTTTGCAGTCCCTCGTTACATGAATGTGTGCCTCGAAAGGGAACAAAAGCGATCCGTGTTCGAACACATATGCCCGAGTGGACCTTACGTTGTGTATTCCAGTCAGACGGCTTGATAAGTATTAGAATGTCCCTATGAAGGAAGGAGAAAGGAGATCAGGAATTGACAATGCCATTTACGCTGTACAGTTCACATTAAAGAATTTTCCCGCTGTGGTTCAACAATTGAACAACTGGAGTACGGAGGAGTTTCTTTCTATTTCGATTGGATACCCTGGAAACCGTCGCATATTAGCGCACGACAACGGAGAAGATCCTAATTAATGATTGCTGCCGGTGTCACTGTTTCATGGATCATCCGTGACGATAGAAGATCGAGTGATCACTACCATAAATGAGAACTGCGTCCCACAGATCATTCGTGAAGTGTGACTGATGTTCGTTCTCAAAAGTAATTGATTGGGTGTTGATTTGCCTGATAATGGTGTGACAAGTCGGCAAGCCGTCATATCCGCTACTCTACTGAAGCTGAAATTGTTCGGGTTGGATCTGCAAACGGAGTGTTCGCCAGCACACAGGTTTTTCAACCAGCACTTTGAAGTGACCCATTGATGCAAAGCATTAGTGCGTGACCTCGAAACAGGATTCCGCCATTGCGAAGTCGCTCGATTCCAGATTCGCCCTAATGCTTGATCGGATCGGTTCTTTCTTCTTAAATGCTATGAACTGGCCATTCATAGGACACAGCATGACCACCGCACATCCCACAGAAACAGATTTACTGTAAACCACCAGAATTTTCCGGTTTCAGGGCCGAAAAAGGAAAATCTGCTCATCAAATTTCCTTCATACAAGACCGCTGGCGTTGAGTTCCACGAAGAGACCAATGCTCAGGGTCACAAGTGCTTTCGAATGAGTGGCGGCAAGGTTGAGGTGGGTCCTTCTGTGGCTTGAGATTCGTTTTTTTCCAATCAGCAAATAAAAACACAAAAATCAATTTGTTCCTTCCGAGTAAATACACAGTTTTGTACTCAAAGTCATTCTTGTTCCAGGTATTCCCGCCAGGTCTCAATGGTGCCAAAAAGTACTATGTTCATCTGGAAACACGTATTGGAATACACGGAAAACCGGAAAGATGCGTGAATGCCGATAGTAACGGATGCGGTGGAATTGGATCATGGTTGGTGTTGATGAGGAATGACCTGCAAATGCTTATGAAATCCAAACATCAAGCCATTTGCGGAGAGAATGATGAATTTCGGAATAATTCATATTTAGTGTTCACTGCGACATCTGCCAAACGATGGGTGGCTCACTGAAGAATTTCGTGCAAATCTTCCAAGGGAACAAACCGGCTCAATGTTCCAGCCAGGTACAGTTCGATCTAGACCACGCACTACGGAAAAATCTACCTAAACCTAACTGTCTTCTAGACAGTCCAATTTTTGAAAGTGGTTCGAAAAAGAAAGTTTGGACCTGATGATTGGAGTTCTTTTGAGTAAGGTTTTGCTGATGCCTTGATATACGGCTTCACACATAAAGGTTATTCACGGTGCAACAACCGTTCCTTCGTTCTTTCATTCTTTCATTCATTGTATTGTTTTTGCCTTCTCCTTTGTCCAGCGTGGACAAGGAGCAATCTTAGAGTTTTTGGTTTTCTTTTTATCATGCACTCTAATTGCTGTTACTCAGGGCCTACCTGCTGGCAGCTACACTGATCTCTCCCTGAAAGTTTGCTTACCTACCAAAAATGAACTTCTTCCATTCTTAGATCAGGTTTGTTGATAGTCCTCCAGTCCTTATCGATTTTGAATAGAAAATCAATGAGAAACAAGAAAACTGGTCGAATTAGCGTGAGGAATGATGCATTTCAGAATGCCAGCCGTGCCGAACAGCTCTGGGATCTTTTCGTCAGCTCTCGGGCCAGATCCGGGGTAAGCGAATTTCTTCGTTGAGAAGGAAACTAATTTCCAAGCTTGTATATGAAATAGTGAAAAAGTTAGTGGATGAAGTAGACATATAAAAGAATATGTGAATGTGATGCTGCTGGATCGAACTGCGAGGTCTGGGGAAACCCGAAATGAGCATGTATTTCTTGGTTTCTTTGCTTCGCCCCAAGCATGGTGTCATTCTTCTCGTCAGATTTCTACTTCTAACTCTATGTATGATATATATTTTCTAGGCATTTCTCCTATTAGCGAGTTATCAACATTTTTCAGGAGATTCCTCTGGTTATAGCCGCTCGCATCTTCGATCGTCCAATCAACCATCTGAGTCCGAAGGAAATGAATGATTTACTGCACGACTCCAAAGATGGAATGATCGGATGCCACTGGATTTACGCCACAGTTTCACAGCAGAATTGATTTCCTTCTCAGGGAATTTTCCTGCTCAGATCGCTTATGCTTCTAAGCTTGTGCCTGTCCACCTTTCTGCCTGTCTCAGTCCCTCTCACCGCTCCCTCTTCCTCTTTATTTCCTCCGTCTCCTCCTCGTAAGGTACACGAGCCGCATCGCAGTACTCCTAGTTTCCCTTATCTCGTTTTCACTTGATCGTCTCTCCGTTTCGATTCGGGTATCACACAACCCTTCTTTGAACTGTCCTTCGTGAATTTGACGAACACTCCCCTTTATGCTGTACATTTGAGAACAATCGCCCTGTTCACCTATATGGGAGATACCGTTTTAGTCATTTGTCATCTAGAATATTACAGAATAAATTCACTACACATCACGTTTTCCAATCAATACATCGAAATGTGGCTTTAGTGATGAAAGATCATATAAGGGACTCTGAAGTCATAGTGCCGACATTTGAGCGACTGAAGAATAAGCCCAACTTTGATCCCGAATTCCACTCACGACATAATGCCCATACTGTTCTAGATTTCGAAGTAGCGGACCTGGCATTGCTCATAAAATATCATTGTCCACAGTTTCGGCCAAAAGTTTGGATACTTTTTTATATTTGATCCAGCGCAGTCGATGAGCAATAAAATTTTATCAAATTCACATATTACATGAATTAACACGTTGACTGCGGCGTGGGTGACGCGTCCCACTTTGCGCACCTCGTGGGACATTGCGACGCGGCAACGCGTCCCACGCAAGTCATCGATTTCTCTTGCACTTGCGCGACTTATTCCTGTTGCCCTTGTGCACATTCTATAGGCCACACATTAGCGTACCTGAAAAACACGGCTAACAGAAAGGCCAAATATTCCTTGGTTTGGCAAAGGCTTTCCAGACCTTATGGACACGTCTGTTCACTTCATTCATCCTCGTTTTCTTTTCACTAGTGAATATGTTCAAAAAAGGAGTAATAGAAGTGACAAATCTATTTGTATGGGAGTGTTCTTATTGAAACAACCACGTCAAAATTAATTTCGGAGCCAGTAAATACAGTAAATTAAATAAAACTTGCCTTTTCATGGCCTTTTCATGACCTTAACACGTTATTTCGGCTGAACTCCCATTACTGTAACCCCGATAAAATAGACAGATAACATAATTGAAAACACTTGAGTGCACCTAAGTATTGCGTATTTACAGCTCAAAATTCATAGATTTGTTGTGCGGTGGCGGCGCTCGCAAAATCGCCTTGGTCCCAATGGTGCAAAAACGCAAAACGCGTGATGTCGTCAACGTGTTAAAATCAGGTGACGAGCACGAAGAACATTACAGTTTCCCGAAATATTACCTCATTATTATACTTCCTACTCTTCAAAGTTTGCATGTTTCTGTTAATTTTAAATTATCGTTAGGCATTATGTGATTTTAATTGAGTTCATGCAATGAGGGAACATCATCTTTATAGGAAAGGTTTTTATGAGCACTGCAGCCTTGAACACAAAATGGAAACTGTTTCTCAGTCATCCGCCTATACGGAAGCAATATCATCAAGAGTTTCTATCGTTGCCGAAGTCGCGCAAACTAAGGAGGATGACTCTGCACAAAAAACATCACAGGAAAATTGGATCTTCTTAAATCATCGAATCGTCATCGAAACGTCCGGTTCCCTCGAAATACCGAATCATGAGACGACAGTTTCTTGTTTTCTCCCAAAAAGGAAGTACAATTGCAGCTCAAAATCGGCTGGGACGGCGAAAATTACAGAACAAGTTCTAACAAAAAGCTATCGTTTGGGCTTCAGGAGGTACAGAACAAGTTCTAACAAAAAGCTATCGTTTGGGCTTCAGGAGGCGGATCAGGGTCAAGCGAGGCGTCGAGGAAAATTTGGAAATAGGACCCCCCCCCTCCCTCCGCCGAGGGCTGAAGTCCATGAAACACCCCTCTTCAAAAGCCAAACTATGAAACGGTTGTTTAATTCTCCCCTATAACTGCTCACAAAAAAGCCCTGCTACCCCACGGTCCACAAAAAAATTCGCTTAAGAAGTACAAAAGTGAAAAAGTCAAAGAATGATCATTAATGACGAGCCCTAACGAACGAGCAAACGAGAAAAGGAGCAAAAAACGACAAACTAGTCGCTAAAAATAGCATACTACGTCTCGGGGCTGAAATTAAAGTTCTTCGGGGACCTAATTTTCTGAGGACGATTCTTCCAGACGACGGTAAAACATATAAGAAAGCAGAAATCTAGAAGTCTTCAAAAATATCTTTGTCCCTCCCCAACAAGTTCTTTGAGGGAAGATACTATTGGCTGAAAGCTCAAAACTCGCATGTGCTGCTCAAAAACCTATGGGAACAAATGTTCGAACGTGTGATTTTTCTCGGAAAATGTAATTTAGAAAACGGTTTGGTACTTGTAGAAGAGCAAATTTGTTCTTTCACCCCATGGAAAGCGTGCATCACAGAAATGAAAATGAAGTGAGTTATGCCCGCTGAAAGCCCAAAACTCGCAATTTCAAAAAAAGTGTGTTCGAACGGGGCGATTTTTTGAAAAGAGAACAATCGTCAAACTTTTTATGTTATTCTGTTTAGAGAAAAAAATTTTGATTGTTTCTGAATCTTTTTTATTAGATTTCCAAAATTTCGCATACGAAGGATTTTATGGCTCTTCAAAGTTGAAGGTGCGCTTCTTAGAATTTTGGGGGGTTTCCGCTTCTAACAGAAGCACTTTGCGGAGAGTTAGGCATTCCTTGTAGTTTTCCGGAGCGCACCTCAGGCACAATCAAAATCTTAACCCAACAAGTCAAAAAATAACTTTTAAAGAAAGTCTAGTCTCGCTTCTGAAATTTTTCTTCGCCGCGTTCCTTCTTCCAGCTCGGTTGATACCTGTCGCGTCTCCAGTAGCGACGCGACCGACGCGCAGACGCTTTCTGGCGCCAACGGATTCACGTCTAGCTCTATTAACAAAAGCAGGGGGTAGCAACTGACCCCTTCGACAGCAGGGGGTCGCAAGGATCCCGAAAATGTTCGAACGTAGAAGGTTGACCCTGGTGTTGACATGAGCTATTTAGGCGTTGACCGGTGGAGCGACGTGATGTTACTATTGATTTGAAACAATTATTCAAATGAATTAAATTCAATATTGACGAATTTTCAATTGAAAGCTGATTGGCGAGTTTTAGTTGAAGGAGCGTTTTTCTAATCAGGTGTTGAATATTACAGAAGTTTGGAGAATATAGACAAATTAGATGCAAAATACACAATGTGAAAATTCGAGACGAGCCCGAGTTTTTACACTTTCCGGCAATAACTTGCTCAATTTCGCGGCAATTCAAAATATTGATACGTTCATACAAACTAGAATGATTTTCTTCTATGCAAACACGAGTTTTATGAAGCGCAGCTTCATACGCAATTCAGTACTTCAAAAACTGGGCCACGTGAGGAGCTTTTGCCGAAAATTACGAGGAAAATTCTGAGAGGTTGCGGTTTATTTACGCTTTCCAAAAGCATAGATCGTTCAAACTCATTGACAATCTGAAAATTAATTACGTCATCATAAACTAGAAGATTTTGCTCTTCCAAACAGTCACTGAAACTTGACTATACGTTCACTATTGCAAAAAAATGGCCACGTTGAGATTTTGCCGAGTACTGCCGAAAGGTACTTTTCGCTACGATTGGCACTTATCGCAACGACTATAGCTCCTTGCAGGGAGCGATTACATACTGAAGTAGTTAGCAGATTTCGAAATCCTCGTGACTCTTTCTCTCTGCAAAAAGTGTAAATATTGTTTAGCGGATCTCAACTTCAAAGCGTACATGCTGTGTATTATTTTGACGCTGAAGGCGCGTTTCTTGTTGAATAGTGAACTTCTCCTGTAATTTAACATGAAATCTTTCAGAAACCCTCTTGTTTTCTTTCCTGTGATCAAGTTCGTTATTCATATAGCTGCCGTAGCTGAAAGCGCGCGTAACCAACTGGGCCCCACTCTGCGGGATGCGCCGTGCTGTGACTTTGACATCTTCGTACTGCATTTGAGCGGACCTGACTTGAAAGAATAAAATATTCCTAGAAAACGTGCGAATTTCGGATTCTTCAACTGGTGTCTGGTGATGCAACACTAAAATGCATGCACCTAAAAAAAATAAGAATTGACCTAAAGAGACACCTCTTAAATCACGGAAGATTTTGTGTGGACGCGAATTCAATCTGTTGTTAGGAAAATACTCTGGCCTGGTATTCGATTCGATTCTTAATTGTTTTGTCTCGCTGACGATTATCCTATGTATCAAATTCAGGCGCCTGATTTTCTGCCTCGCCTATGCGGGCCAATACTGATCCCCCTAACTGTGTTGAAACATGCAAGAGGATTCTCTCAACGCACCATAAGCTTGTCTCTGAACCAGTTAACTGAGTTCATAATGAATACAAGCCACCTAAAGTTTGCTGCGAAAAATTTTAGAAGTTCGATAGTTTCTGATATATGTGGAACATGCCTGTTTTCCGATCGATTGGAAAAATGACAAATTTCAAGAGAGTTCAAATCAAGATCAAAATCCATAGTCTGAACACACTGAGAAATTCTCTGTGCTTCATATTTTCCAGTGAGGGTCGATTTTCCTATGTCAAATATGATGTCACAACCACGCCTCGTGTTTCTTCGCTTTAAATTTTCGAGTTGTTCCTTAATTTGAAGCGATTTGGCGTTATCAGGCTTTCACCTTAATGTTTCACAAGATAAAGAGAGAGTTTTCCCCTTGAGGTGAACTGTTAGCAAAAATGGGACCAAGGAAGTCGTTCAGTCATCTCCCATATGTAGCAAAATTGAGTCAAAGCTCCATACGCGTTAGCAATCTTTTTGGAATCCGTAGGTTAATGGAATAGAAGATAAGAGTCTCGTAGATTTCACATGCTGTCTGATCAATTAAAACTTGCAATTTTGGGGAAACATTTCAACTTTCATCGAACACGTGCCGAATTCTCGCTAGTCTGCTCTCACGATCGAGAACTTCA